CCTTACGCGCTTCGTGGAACCATAGGGAGCCCCACCGAACGCGGTGCATACAGCGGCTGTGCCCACAAATGCATATGGTTGGGTGTTTCGCCAGGGTCATTTGTTTGCTGGGAGGCGGATTTGTTTTTGAAAGGTATTTCTTACGACCCAAAGGAAACAACCTTCTGAAACGCATTGCTTCAGCAGACAGACGTCCCCAACCACTGTGTTTCACAATGTGCTTTTGCATTGGATAAGAAGACACATGGTAAAGCAATGCGTTTTCGGATGCCAGACCCCCGAAGCATTATTTAATACAAGGTTTTCCCATATCAGAAACAAGAAGCATTGTAAAACACAATGCTTTGAATCGTCGCATGTCCAAACCATTGTGTTTTACAATGTTTCCTGCTCTCCGAAACCAAGAACATTGCAACACGCAGCGTGTTCATTACTCCGACGTCCCATCACACAGTGTTTTATATTGTTTTTGGCGTCAGAGACCAAGACACATTGTAAGCCATACCATTTTCGGGTGTCAAACCTTCCGAGCACTGTTTTATGCAATGTTCTCCAACATCAGAAGCCAGAAACATTGTAAACCACAGTGCCTTTCACAATCAACCATCGAAACTATTGTGTTTAAACATGTTTTCGGTTTCCCAAACCCAGAATATTTGCAAGTCGCAGCGGTTTCAGCAGACGAGCGTCCCACATCATTGTGCGTTACAATGTTCTTGAACATCAGAGAACAAGACACATTGTAAATCACAGCGTTTTCGGCGGTCTAGCCCTACACACTTTGTTTAACATTGTGTTCCCAATGTCAGGGGCCAGGCGCATGATCAAACGCACTGCTTTCAATAACCCCACATCCAAAGCATGGTGTTTTATAAAGTTTCGGATCTCCGAAACCAGAAACGTTTGCAACTCACATCAATTTCAGCAGACAGACATCCCACACCATTGTGTTTTACTAGGTGTTTTCATCAGGCCCCTTACTGAGGAAAAGGGAATGTAATGAACTTCTTCCCCCTTTCATGTGGGAAAGGGACGGGGCATAATCCCATCCCCCTTTTTGAGGGGAAGGGAAGGGAATGAGCCTCCCCCCCCTCCTTCCTGCGGGGGGAGGAAGGACTCTCCTCCTCCATCCTGGTGGAAAGGGGGGGGGGAACAGAACATCCTCCTCCTCCTCCTCTTGTTCCTCCTCCGTAGCCATTTTGGCTCAAGAGCCAGCAGGTTGCCCGCGGCCGCGCCCCTCGGTATGCCATGTCCACGCTCCTTGGCGCCGCGCGTCTGTAACCTTCGGTCTACGTGTTTTCATTGTGATGGATCCTTATCGTCCCCGCACGTGTGGTCCAACATCTGGTGGTGCTAAGGCTGTCAACTTCACGCTCGGCGCCCTTAGGCAGCTGGGGAAAAGGACCAATTTGAATTCGAGGCGTTCTGTATCGTTTACTTCTGCTGCATGCTCTCTCGTGTCACTTCGGACAGAACTGTTGCTGGGTGGGGCTGCCCAGACGTGTGACCCTACCTTTGTTCGCAGAGTGTTTGACTTGGCGCAAGCTGCTCGGCTCCATCAAACGTTGGAGGTGGTCCATGGGCTTCCACACTCTCGTTCTCTGCGTCAAACGTTGGAGGATGCGATCCATAGTGGGCAGTTTGGGTGTCAGACTATTCGGGCCATGCAGCATATATTGTTGAAAGGGAACCCTGCTCGGCATCAACGCTGGCCTGGGGCAGGTGGCAAGTTCAAATGGCGCCCCAAGGAGCAGAACCCATCTCGAGTACCTCTCTGCCTGGACGAGCTCATCTGCCAGGGGCCCAAGGAAGGTCCACCGCTACGGGCTGACGCTCCTTGCTTCTGGCCCGGATGGGATGCTCTTCATCACTCTCCTGCAGGTTTGGTTCTTCGGGAATTGGGGCACGATTTGGTGCATGACGAGGCCGGCGACGGGTGGGAGGAGCAGGAGGATTTCATTGACCTGGTTCTCCTTGACGATTGCGTGGGGCCTTGGTGGGATGACGACGGCCTGGCGGAGCAGGAGGACATCATCGACCAGGTCCATTTCGAGGACGGCGACGCGCCCATCGAGGTGACCGACTGTGGGAATGAGCAGGAGGACTTCATTGACGGGATTCTCTACCTGGACGGTGACGACACGGACCGGCTAGAGGACACCTCCGACCAGGGCTACGGCGAGGAGGGTACCTTCTGCCCTGGGCACGCTGTTTCGGACTTCTCTGCAGGAGCGGCTTCTGAACGACAGAATAGGGAAGATGGAGGCCCCGAGGTCCCGAGGCCGACTGTTGAGGCCGATGAGGGACTTCGAAAACCCATTCGAGGTGACGCAGTTCATGCTATTGCGCCCGCACACGGGAGTGGGATAGACAACAATGCCGTTTTCTGTCACGGTGGTCACGTGGTGTCCGCAGATATTTCTTTGCTTTCTGACGGCGAGTCTGATGTTGTAGATTCTCTCCTCGATGTGGTTCTGACCTCTCAGAGGTGGCCCACGGAAGGTGGAGCCCCCGAGGTCCTGAGGCGGAACGAGAGTGCCGATGAGGGACTTCGAAAACCCACGCGTGGTCAAGATGGTCACGACCTGTCTGTGGAAATTTCGCTGTTCGATGATTTTGTGCCTGGCGTGGAGACGTCTCTGAATGGCGCGTTGGATTTGCCTGGGAGCACTGCTAGGGAAGATGGAGGCCCTGAGGTCCTGAGACCCAGCCAGGGGGCCAATGAGGGACTTCAAAAACCCATTGGTGCTGCGGATCTTCATGGTCACGATGGGTTTATACAATTGGGTATGGCCGATGGCGATCTTGGGGGACAGATGCCTGACACGCCCTTGGTATGCGAACACTTCTCAGATTTGTCTTCTCTTTTCGCCTTCATCGCAGAAGTGGTTGAGACTGTCTCTGAAGAGGCTGTTGCGTCTGTCAGCTTGAGTGGGGAAATCAGTCCTGGTGTCTCTGGCGCCCCCTCTCGTCATCGCCATCAGCATCACAATCACCATCATCATCCTCCTCTTCCTTCCTCCTGATTCCCTCCCTCCTCCTCCCCCTCCTCCTCATCCTTTTCCTCCTCCTCCTCCTCCTCCTCCTCCTCCTCCTCCTCCTCCCCTTCCCCCTGCAGAGGGAAAAGGGAAGGGAATGAACCTCCTCCCCCCTCTTTCATTGGGAAAGGGCAAGGGGTTCCCTCCTCCTCCTCCTCCTCCATCCTGAAGGGAAGGGGAGGGACGGAACCTCCTTCTCCTCTTTTTTCCTGCCTGAGTGAAGAGGAAGGGGACGAGCCTCATCTTCCTCCTTGTCGAAGGCCAGGGAAGGTGCGAGTGCCCTGGCCCACCTTCCCCCTCCCTTAGTGTATTTTTGAGGCGGGGATTTAGGGAAGGGGGCGGGGACTACAAAGGTGCGCGTGTGTGTGTGTGTGTGAATGTGAATGTGAATGTGTGGATGTGTGAATGTGTGAATGTGTGAATGTGTGAATGTGTGTGCGCGCGCGTGTGTGTGCGCGTGTGTGTGAACGTGTGTGTGTGAATGTGTGTGTGTGTGTGTGAATGTGTGTGTGTGTGTGTTTGCGTGCGTGCGTGCGTGCGTGCGTGCGTGCGCGCGTGCGCGCGCGCGGGCGGGCGGGGCGGGGCGGGCGGGGGGCGGGCGTGTGGGCGTGTGCGCGTGTGCGCGTGTGTTCGTGTGTGCGTGTGTGCGCGTGTGTGTGCGTGTGCGTGCGTGCGCGTGCGCGCGTGCGCGCGTGTGTATGTGTGTGTGCGTGTGTGCGTGTGCGTGTGCGTGTGTGTGTGTGTGTGTGTGCGTGTGTGCGTGTGTGCGTGTGTGTGCGTGTGTGACTGTGCGTGTGTGCGTGCGTGTGTGTGTGTGTGTGTGTGTGTGAGTGTGTGTGTGTGTGTGTGTGTGTGTGCGTGTGTGCGTGTGTGCGTGTGTGTGTGCGTGTGTGCGTGTGTGCGTGCTGTGTGTGTGTGGGTTTGCGTGCGTGCGTGCGTGCGTGCGTGTGTGTGTGTGTGTGTGTGCGTGGAGGATTGTTAGCGGGGGTCGCGGACCCTATAGGGGGGTGCCATCAAATGAGGAGGTGCCGAGGAGTGTTGTTCCATTGGGTAGACGTTTTTTTCAGATCGTTCTGGTGGGGGGGTAGAGAGCGTCTCCGAACGTCTGGGTTTCCAGCACCATTGCAGACAAGCCAAACAATTGCGGCAGGGCGAATTATAGCGTTGCGATGGCCCTTACGTTGTGCTCTTGAGGACCGATCCTGGTGGCATGAATTTGCTCGCCATCCGCATCCGTCTTAATTTACGCATCTGCAGTTCTGCCTTATGTGAATTTGTCTGGTTACCACGACTTGCAGCCCAGCCCAGTGGTAAATGTGTGAATGCTCTTTGCCGCGATACATGATCAGGGATCTCTGCGCTGACTGACAGGCCCTACCCATCATTTCTAGATTGCGCTATCCGCGTGTCTCTCGGGCGAATTACCGATGACACTATGTATCCTCCTCTCCCTGTAAGTGCTCCCTGTGAGCCGGTGCGTATGGTTCATCAGGGCACCTTCAAGCGGCAGGGATCAGGTGATGTTCCTTCGGGGACATCTTGGGTCCGGCAGGGCAATTTCGATCGTTCGGGACACTGTTCACGTTGCCGCCGCATCCCCCAACTATTCTTTTAGCACTCCACCCTTCTCTCCTTCATCCACCAGTCGATCTCTCCTCCCCTGCCTCTCTCTCCTGGCGACGGGGCGCGCGACTGGCTGACGGGAATTCACGGCCGCGGCTCGGTACGATCGAAATCGGCATTGTACCGAAGGAGTAGGGACAAAGACCAACAGCTCGCAGTGTCCATTCTGGTCGGCGTGAACTCGGCCGTTGCCAGATTTGAGACGACTGGTCGCTTGCCAAACAGCGGCCGCTGCCGGTGTGGATCAGCATTTGCCGCTGGGTGCCGTGCTCCTTTCCTTCTGCTCACCCGCCTCGCGCGTGCCAAGGCAGCGGCCCCAGCCGTGGCGAGGGAGGGAAGGCGGCGACCTGTCCGACCGCATCAAGAAGATGAGGCAGTCGGGCAAGAGCTTCCCGCAGGACCCCGGGCGGGCGGCGCGCGGGGCCCGCGCGGCCCCCCGTGGCCCTCCGCGGCCCTCCGCTGGCCCTCCGCTGGCCCTCCGCGGGCTCTCGGCAGCCTCCGGAGACCCCGGGCGGCCCGCGCCCTCGGAGGCCTCCGGCGGTCCTCCGCGGCTGCCGGGCCGCCCGCGGCCCTCGGCAAAACCCTGCCGGGGGGTCCCGCGGTGGTCCAGAGGGCACAGCTCGCCCCCGAGCGCCGCGATCGTCATCATCATGATTGCGTCGGCGGGCCCGCGGTGGCCCAGAGGGCACAGCCGAGCCCAGAGCGCCGCGATCGCTGCATCACGCGAGGGTGGATCCCGGTGCCAGGTCGCTCGCGACCGTTGAACGTATGATCGGTTTGCTGTCGTCGTGTTTGTCGCCCAGTGTGTTTGATCGGCACCATTTGCTTTTTCGACAACTAGCACTCACCGCTCTTGACACACCGTGGCGTTCAAGTCGTTGCTAATGTTGTGTGAAGGGTTTGTGGCATGATGTAGCGGAGAGGAGAAGGAGCAGTGATCACCTTATATGTACATTAAAGGGATGTGTATGCATGCTGTTCCCGATGTCGGAGGAGCAGGTATTGCGGTGGTTCACGCAGTGTGTCTTGGCCTTGAAGGACCTGTGGCGCTTGCAGTTAACAGTGCAAGCCAAGGTATTTGGTATGCCATGGGAGGACATGGGAAGCAACATAATGATTAGAGCAGGCCTAGCCGAACACAAGACAGTGCCAGGTGTCATCAGTCCCACGGGGTAATGTTGTTTGGATTGCTATATCATCGCAGATGATTTCTGCAGTAGTGTTGCACTGTGTTGCTGATCCCTTCGTGAGATTGCTGGGCTATGCCGGGCGTGGATATGATCTGGTGAAACGATTTCCCCGTGCCCTCTGGTGACAGAGGTCTGGTTGGTAACGCCAGCCTGACGCCAGCTAGTCTAATATAGGAGCCAAGCATGAGGCCCAGAGCTGAGGCATCTTCCTTCCCACTCCACCTCTCGCCAGTTAACCAAAAGCTCTGCCGTCTTCCTGATTGCGTGTGCTGTCAAGTACGCTTGCACCAGGCTCCAGCGAATGCCTTGGACGTGAAGTGGTGTCAAGCATTCGAGGCAATCGCGCTGGTCGTCTGGCTGTTGGCCGCGCGGCGTACATGACCGGGCACGTTGCAAAGGTGTGAGAAGCCAAGGACACCCTGTGTGTACTGTTTACCTTCCCTCGCCTCCTCCCTCCCCTCACACTTTTGGCGTCGGCGGCCAGGCAGAGTGACTGCGCTGGCGATAGGCGAGATGGAAGCGAGCCCGAGTTGGGCCGCCCATGCAGGGATGAGCAAGGGCGCCCTCGAGGGCGCGAAGTTGTTCGCGCTTCGCGGTTCGGCTCCGATTCCTCCTCATCCTCCTCTTCTCCCCTGGGAGGCGGCGCGAGAGCGCGAAGTTATTCGCGCTTTGCGCAGCGCGAAGCGCGAAGTGGGGAGCCCGTTGGTGAGGAGGAGGGGGCGACCGGCGAGGGCGAAGAGGGAGGCGTGGGGCCGGGCCCGCTCACAGCGTGGCCAGGCGCGTGGCAGGGCCGGCGACGACGACGACGACGACGACGACGACGACGGCGGCGACGACGACGACGACGAAGACGACGACGACGACGACGGCGGCGGCGGCGGCGACCACGGGCTGCAAGGCTAGGCTGGCTCGATTCAGGGCCACCGGCCCGCCGGCCCAGAGTCGGTGGTGCCGATTCTGGGCGCTCCCCGGCCTGCCGTCCCAGAGTCCTGCCCCTCGCTCCCAGGGCCACGCGCGCCTCTGGAGCCACCACACATAGTTTTTTGTGGCCCCGCGTCCACGCGAGCGGGGACGTGCGCTTGACGAGGAGGAAGGGACGCAGCGTGCCCTCGAGACGAGCCGGCCGCCAACGATCATCGTCCTCGCCTTCTTCCTCCAGGAGTTCCTCCCCCGTATCATTCCATGTACGACCATGCGTTGGGAGAGGGCGCCCGTGAAACGACCAGCCGCTGAGGATTGGCCGCCGGGTTCTCGCCAGCCCATGGTCGGGCATGGGTCAGGGGCAATGCTCGGGGGGAACTGCTCAGGGGGGATGCATCGACCCTCAATCGCCCATTGATCGCCGACAGAGGACCGACAGCCAACAGCGCCCAGGACAGTGCGGTTCCGCTGTCGGGGACCTGTCGCCGATCTATCGGCGATGTATCGCCGAGTCCAGATCGATGGTTCCCCCCTGAGCCTCTTCCCCCTTACGTCACTCCTCAATGAGGAGGCGATGGGAGGAGCAGGGGAGCAAGGGGAGGAAGCGAAGGGGGGACGAGCAACCCGCGGAGTACATTCACGACCGGCACATCCTGCACCGCGACCTCAAGTCGGGCAATTTCTTCCTTTCCAAAAGCGGCAACATCAAGGCCTCACCGCACCCGCGGCAGTCGCAGAAGAAATAATTGCATCAAGATCAAATGTTCGGAGGTCCGCGCGGACTGCTTGGATCGCTCCCTGGCGCGCGGAGCGCGTCATGGGGCTGGGTCGAGCGCCGATCCAAGTGATCTGTGCGCACCTCCAAAAGCTGATGTTTGCGAAGATGCTTCTTCTAGGTGAGGGTGAACGGAGGGAAAGGAGAGGGAGTGAGAGAGGACACGATGAGTAAGGCTACGAGTTGAGAGCCCCGCCAAGGTGTTGGCTAGCCCGCATTTGCTTTACCCTCGTCTCAAGTACATCGTTATGCAGTTTGGACCTGATGGTCTCTTCAAATCATGTGTGCGGATTCTTTGTGTGAAGCATTGTCGTATAGCATGTCATGCGGTGCATGAGTTTGACGCAAGTGTGTGGGGTTGGGCTGTCTTGGCCAGATATGGATCCTCGAGCCTCTGAGCCTGTAACAAGTTACGTTGCGATGTGCCACGACATGTCCCCCGTGCCAGTCGCGTGAGACGCTATCACCACGAGTTTTCACCCTGGCGCGATGTGTCTCGCAATGCCGCGCGATGCCATTATTCGAAAAGCAGCAGATGACATTCACACGCTCTCGGCGCCCCGCGCCGGGCTCCCCTGGCGGCGCCTCGGGCGCTGACCCTGGCGCGCTCCGCGCGCCAGGGAGAGGGTCCAGCGCCGATCCGAGAAGTCCGCGCGGAGTTTCGGAGATGATCACACGGAGCGATGGCTCTGCACTCGAGTACCCACCACCCCGCTGTCGGTGTCATCAGGCTGCGCGGCCCAGGTTCCCAAGCGGCCCTCGAGCGCGGCAACATGGGATCCCTGACCTCTGCCGATCCTCTGCAGACCTCAGTGCGCCAGAGTCTGCGAACTCAAAACTTCGCTACGTACGGTAGGTTTGCGTCGTGTCGACCAGCGGCGACCCCAGCGCGGGCGTTCAAGGTTGAACGCCGCCGGCGACCCAGAATCGATCGATGTTGAACGATCGGACGTTGCGGCAGCGGCCGATCGTTCAAGGTTGAACGATCCCCGCGGTGTCAGAAACCAACGCCGGGGTCGACACGACGCGAACCTGCCGTACCAAACCACCCAACCCAACCCGAAGGCCCCAGATCCCCCAAACTCAATTTCGGGGTGGGGCGTGTACGGTGTCCATTTTTTGTCTTATTCCAGTGCTTCAGAATCCCCCCTCACTGGAGATTGACGGACGCGACGGCGACTTCGAATGGTCCGGGTTGATCTGGTAGGTAGTCCAAATACTTTTTTTTTGGAGCCGCCCTGGAGACCCTCTTGGAGCATCGGAGGCCTTTTTGGAGCCATCTCGGGCGCCCTGGCCGATCGCGATCCCACCAAAAGAACCTCAGGGAGGGGAGGGGAAGGGTACCGCTCCCCGAAGGAGAGAACATTTTTGGATGAGGGAAGAGAGGACCTTCAGACCACCTTAGCCCAAAGGCCTGGTGGGAATTATAATAGTTTCGTGGTATCCTTCCCAGCTGTTCGGCGAGCGCTGTCCTTGCGTGGAGAGACGTGTCTCATTGCCCCAGGGGCCTTGGCCGAGGATGCAGTTTGGATCCCATTGACGTCGGCGACGACGACGCCGACTTCGACGACGACGAGCACCTCGACGACCACGACGACGACGTCGACGACTGTGACGACGACGTCGATGACGACGTCGACGACGTCGACGCAGACGCCCGAACATGAACGCGGCGACCTTGGCACCTGTTCTAGGAAGCAGCAATTCCTGGGAGGTTCACTTCAGCGTCGGCTCTTGCACACCCGCCGAGAACTGGCCCGATCTGGCACAAGCCCGTTCAAACACCCTTTCATTCTGGCTCGCACTTGGGTTCAGTTTTCGCTGCAGTGCCGCTTTGTTTATACATGCTCCGCGTGCGGATCAAGTATAAAACATGCAGGGATTTAGTATCAAAAACAACGATGAGTTCATACATAAATCGATTCATACATTAGCCATGTCTTAAACATCCTATAGTTTCAAACATCCTATGTATCAAAAACTGCCCTGTACGCTAATCCGGCACAGTGGCCTCGCAATCGGGTTTGCGCCCTGGCCGTTCCCATCGGTTCCTCACGGCCCCTGCATCTGCGGCCTCGTGAGGCCATCTCGAAGCGAAGTGAAAATCAGTCGACCCTCCTCGCGGGATGTGCACGGAGCCATCCTGACAGGATCGGCGGCCTCTGATCGTGTTCTGATCAGCGCCTCGCCCATCCTCGGAGCCTCCCACACCGCCTGCCTCCCCCATCCTTCTCAGAGGGACGCCCCGCTGGAGCCGCCCCACGTGAGCGCACCGCCGAGGGACGGAGGTAAGGAAGAGGAGGAGGTGGAGAAGGAGGAGGAATGAGGTGGATGAAGGAGGAGGAAGAGGAGGGAGCGAAGGAGGAAGGAGGTGGAGGAAAGAGGTGGGTGAAGAAGGAAGGAGGCGGAGGAGGAGGGGGAGGAGGAAGGTGAGGGGGAGGAGGAAAAGAAGGTGGGAGGAGGAGGGGGAGGAGGAGGAGGAGTACCCCTCTTCTTTCCTTGCACGAGCCGCGCGGTCTGAGGCGGCAGAGCGGGCGACGCCTTGGCTCGGCTCGCCCCCCCCGCCCTTCCTCCCTCCCTCCCTCCCTCCCTCCTCCTTCCTTCCCCTGCGTGATCAACTTTCCCTGTCGAGCAAATTTGCTGGACTTCGGCCTCGCGCATCAGCTTGAGGGCGCGGCACTGATCCAGACAGTTCGACATGTCAAGGCCCACCGTGACGAGGCTGTCATCCAGGGCCCCGAATGTGAAGAAAAGGTCGTTGTTGTTGCCAGTGCTGTTGCTGATCGATATGCCAAAGAAGGTCTCAGCATGCGCCCAGCCCCACCGCCCGAGTTCGCAAGCGACCTGTGTCTGTCTGGCGGGCGAGAGATCTGGGAACTTGATCAAGCTTGCATCGCAGGTTCTCCCATGCTCTGAGAACGGTGCGCGGTGGGCAAGGCCTCACTACATCAGCGCCCCGAGGTCACGGCGACAAGTGTCGTGGCATTACTGGAAAAGATCGATCTCGGTCTGCAGTGCAGGAGCTGCCTCAGCGTTGCTGAAGGCAGCTTCGAGACTGTCTCGATGGACGGTTGCCGTGGTCTTCCTTCGAAGCCTGCTCCGCGACCCCATGGGGCATCAGCTTGTCGCCGTGGCTGAGCAGAGCCGAAAAATTGGTGTGCCCCTGGGGTTATGTCGACCATCGTCCAGGGCACATATACTCTGCCTGCGCTGCGGGGGTTGGTCCCAGGGTTTAAAGCTCGGCAGTCCGTGTGGGGCTCCGTCACGTGAAGGTTTGGAGATCTTGCCTGAGCTCAGGAAGGGAAACTGCCCGAGCCCGAAGAGCTCGGGCAGCTCCAGATCGTGCGGTTCCTCGTGGTAGGCTTTGCCTCTCCGCCGCCCCTCCTGTACCAGACGCTCCGACTGTAGTCAGGACCTCGCATTCTACTTCCCTGATGGCCCCCTGCTATGAGCAGCGTGTGCCAGCCTTGTGTGGGAGGGTTTGTTCAAAGGAGCAGGCCGCAGAGGCTGCTTCCAGAAACTAAGTGTGTTTGTGGGCCCTTTAATTACACTAGCGATGTGCACTCCCCCTTTCGGGTCTTCCGTTCCGTTCCCTTCCCCTCCCCTCCTTTCCCCTCCTCTTCTTCCTCCTCCTCCTCCTCTTCTTCCTTGCCTCCCCCTCCTCATTCCCCGCCCCTTCTCCCCAGCACCAGCACCAGAAACGGACTCCAGAACATGAGATCCAAGACTGCCGTAAGAGACGAGAGAAGTTGAACACCGCTGCCCCTGCCGAGCTGGCTTCCTCCGTCCTCCACCCCCGTTATTCACTGGTTTGAAAGAGGGCCGCTGCCGTCGCCGAGGTCGGGGACGCCGAGGAGGAGGAGGAGGGAGGGGAACGTGCGGCGCAGGGGTCCGCCCTTCATCCCATGTTGCTTCTCCTCCTTCCTCCTCCTTCCCCAGAGATGCTGGCAGTTCCCCCATGGATAGAGGCTGATGCCATGATGTCTGTGCGTGTGGGGGGCCCAGGACCCCTGCGCGCCCGAGATGAAAAACTTGTTGCCTCGGAGTTTGTCTGCGGCCGCTTGAACTCTTGACCGGGCTTGAGGCACGGCGGCGGTCCTGGCTGCCGTGTGATGCAGTGCGCGTCCGGGCTGTCGCCAAAGGCCGCGCCCCCGTGTTTTCGCGACGGGCATGGCAACAACCTTGCTGGCTCGCAGCTGGACTTGACAAGAGAGGGGGTCGCAGGTTGGAGCGTTTGCGTGGGCAGCGATATATATATATAAAGAGAGAGATAAATAAAATAATGAGAGAGAGAGAGAGAGAAAGACTCGTTCTCCCCCTCCTCATCCTCCTCTTCCTCCTCCTCATCATCCCTTTTCTTTCTTCTCCTCCTCCTCTTCCTTCTCCTCCTCCTCCTCCTCCTCCTCCTCCTCCTCCTCCTCCTTTTCCTTTTCCCATCCGATCGTACTCGAGAACCGACTATCCGCCGGGTACGCATGAGACTATTACACCAACCTTTGCAATATCAAAGACAAGCCGTGCATTACAGAGTAAGGCGACCATCGCCAGTCAGCATTATTACATGAAGGACATCTAGCTTACCACCATCGCCCCGCATTTACGAAAAAAACGATGGGGGTGGGAAGGGGCCTTTTTTTTCGGTCGTGCGGAAGTCCAGCACGGTGATACAAGACATTCGCTACACATCGAGTCTCAGATCACTCGAGAGATAAGTTCGGGCAACGCATCATTACGGACAGCGTTGGCATTCGTAGCCAGTCACCTTCGGGGCGAGTTGCCACGACCTTCGGATACCTCCCGACAGCAACATATTCCACATTACGTGCGCGAGCCGCTTATTTCTAGAAGTGCACTTAGCTCCCCAATACTTCATCAGGAATGTCGTCCGTATCGAAAATGTTGTTCCTGTTAGGTTAGCTAGAAGTATCCATGAGCTACCTCCGGGAACGTATGCTGACCGATGTACGCTAGTGCGCAATGACAACGACGCGAGCCCAGGCTTCCATTGCTGTGAAGTTGCAGGTACTGCCCGCAACATCCAAGACATAAGCGGATCTGCGCACTATAGAATCATCCAGTGCCTGAAGTCCGCCAAACCTCAAGCGGTCTTCGGTCAACACATGACGACGTTTGATGAGGTGGCAGACACGCCGACGCAAGGCCGCGATGCCAGGGAGGTCCCAGAGGCCGGATCACCACAGGAAGACGGACGGGTTCCCACAATCTATGAGGAATCGGAAGCGGACCTCGAGGCACACATTATGGAAGTGTGGTATACGGAACTACAGGACGAAAGAGAGTTGCTGGAGGCAATTCCAGTGGATGAGCTCTACATAGTACCCACAAAGACGATTTCTGATAACAGTGCGCTGGTCACAGTAGCTGAATATCAGAAAGGACACTTGCCTACGTGGGGTAGCCCACAGGACATTTACATAACCGAAACATAGCATGCACCATTGTGCTCCACGGACGAAGATGACAGCTACGGATGGGACCCCGACGGGCACGGACAATTTGCAACATTTTCCGGTGCGGCAGACATGTCGAAAATCGTCATGTCCGAACAACGACATAAGATGTTGGATTTCGACCGTGTTACTATGATGCAGGCGAACCCAGCCAAGGTATCGAAAGCCCTTTAATACTGAACTCAAGACACGGAATGTTTCAACATACGAAACATGTCCAAGGCGTCGAACATTTCGAGATGCGCATATCACTGGAAAGTCGTCAAGAACGAGAAGGGCGAGATGGAGCGCGCCATCAGAGCACGCCTGGGACTTCGGGGTTTTCATCGACCTCGAAGCCTTCGGTGTATAGACGTTCTCGTGAATGGCGCGGCGGTCAAGCCGGCGATTACTCGCCAGCGCGGCGGCGCGCAGAAAGCAGTGGATCGTGACTTCTTTTGGCGGCAACATGGCCTGCCTGAAAGGACTTACGTATCGAGAGCTCGCTGCAGCGACCAGTGACAAGGAACGCGCGGCGCGTTTTCCGCTGCCACTTGTTTCAGCATCAGTGCGCAGATCTCTCCCAGGATTCAAGCACAATGATGAGTCGAGGCGCTGTCTGCAGCGCCCTAAACTAGGCGCTGGCACCAAATATGCGCCAAAAATCTCTGGAAGACAACGAGAGGCTGGAGGACTCAGACCCACGGCTTACGACGAAGAATCGAGGCGAGCCCTGACCTTCTTCCCGGCAGATACGTCGGTGATATAAACGTGGCCGGCACCGAGGACACCATCGGCAACTGCGTCACCTGCGTTGAGGACTTTTTTTTTCGGGAAGTGTGAATTCAACACACACGCACACATAGCAACTGCGCTGTGCGATATGCAAAGGACAGCGGCGGCAATGTCGCCCTGCACCAAGATGAATACATGAGGCAGCTCCGCCCCACCCAGCATCATGAACTCACGGGCTCAGATGCTGAGGCTACCGCACCGAAGATGGTCACTGATACGTCTGCAAGTCTCAGAGGCGCTCTGGCCTGCGCCCTGATCATACGAGCGCGGCGACTGGTATATGTTGCATCACGACAGCGCGCCCAAGAACCGACCAACATGCAAGTGCGACGATTTTGCGCGAATGCCAGGAAACTGCAGGCTTCCCTAAGAAGATCGCATATCAAGCGATGGAACCGACGGGCGAAGTCGATCTGCACAGCGATTCTGGCTACCGCCGCCTGAACAGCGATGCCGACGACGAAGTCAAAGGCTGGTATTCGCGGGGCAAACCTGCTAAGGCGTGGACACGCGCATGCTGGCAAAAAACCGTCGTCCATCTTGTTGACGCGCACTGCAAGTCTCACCGCTCGCAAGTCCGCTCGAGCTACTCAGCTGAAACATTGGCAGCAGCCCGCAATTTGGAGAACCGTTGTCCCACGACTGTCGCGCCACACGAACTCCACGCAGGGCCGGGCCGCTGACATCCGTTCCACTGAAGGATGTACTTGAGGTGGGCGGCCTGAGCGTTAAGGTCACTTTGACCGTTGACTGGGAGCACTCGGTAAACCGTCAACCAGGTTACCGCCAGGGCCCTCGTGGAGTTCCTTCAACGCGTTTTCCTCTCGGGATACAAGGAGAACGCTTTCTTCAATGCCAGCTTGAAAGCTCCGAAGTCTTCGTTCGGTTCTATGCGAAGTAATTGCCGCCAAGTGTTTTGATAGTAGTGCAGCAGCTACGGACTTGAGAAGTTCACACTGGCGGGCGCGGCATAACCTACTACAGGTGCGAAAAATATCTGTTCTGAAAACGAGCTTTCAAATCTCTCACAATGTTCGCCCAACCGACCCAAAGTTCCCGCATGGTCCGCCCTGGCCGGGTCGGTCATTTCGCTCCACCCTGCGCCGGGATTCTTTTAGCTCTTCGTGCCGAAGAGCTTTACGATGTCTGCAGGATCCGTCTGCAAGTCTTTGTCAAGCAAAGACCTGAAGATTCCGACTGGATGTAGATTTTTGGGTCACATCATTTGGATACGGCAAATAATGGAGCGCGGTATCGCGCATTGTGCGCAGTGGTGTGACGCTCGCGATACGACTGCGGATGGTCACTCCGAAGGGGAGCATCGACAGAGACATGCTCTTGCAATTCATAGAAGAGCACCGTCCTTCAAGCACGACCTGAAACGACACACGCCCTATAGGGCTGGCCAGACAAGACCATCTGAATCGCCTGAGGATTGGTGTGCTGCGGGGTAGCATGCTTAGGTTGAGCCCGCTGGCTGCCGCCTTTCTTGCGTAATAGTTGTGTTTGCTGCGTAAGGCCGGCAGCGGAGTCACGCTTCGTCTTTCCCCCCCCCCCCGACCTTGAAGGAGGAAGGCCAAAGGCGAGATGTATCGAGCGTTTGTCCGTGGCCACCGGGGCCCAGTGACCGGCCACCGATCTGACCAGGCCGCACCGCGGTTGGTTACCTTACATCGAGACAGATAGGTTCGACCCTTTACTCTTGAGGTGTATCATCGCCGCTCACGCGGTTCCTTCCTACTTCTGGCGCTATCGTTAATACGATACAACAGGGTTGGACGTATGCTTCGCGTTAAGCGAAGCATCTGGTTGGGCCAGCCTACCAACTCTTAAATTGGCACATCTAGCTCAGAGAAGGAAAGGTAACCATACCGTTACCCTTCCCTTGTTTTCTTTTTTCTGGGCCTCCCGGGAAGCCTTCGTCGCCACCGCTGGATTCGCCTTGAGATTCTAGTCCACCCATGCACGGTTCGTTGGTTCGTGCGTTTCTTCAGGCACGTGGTGCAACGGAATCTTCCGCTTGCCCTACCTGGAGTGTGTTGGTTGTCAAATTGGCGAGGGACACTCTCTGGATGTTCGCGGTGGAGCTCCCATACAGCATTTCACTTACCTGGGGCCGCGTTCGGCGTTCCAAGACTCCTTACCTACACCTATGAACGGCTTTGCGCATGTTTTGATTCGGGCGGGGTATTCCTCCATCTCCTCGGGCGATCGGTCATGTAGGCGGGCATCCTCCTTCTTTCTCCTCCTCCTTCTCCTCTTCCTCCTCCTTCTCCCCCCCTCCTCATCCTGCTCGTCCTCCTCCGCGCGCCGGAGATGGGCGACTTCGGTATCGCCAAGGCGCGCCGCGAGGGACGAGGGGAGGAGGACGAGCACAGAGGAGGAAAAAGGAGGAGGTTCACCGTTAGTGGGGATAATGCCGGTCAGGGGGGCTGCATCGACACCCGATCGTTCATTGATCGCCGATGTGGGCCCCATAGTCCGCCCCGCCCAGGACCGTGTGGTTTCTCGATTGTGTCCATATCGCCGATCTGCCGAAGATGGATTGCCAATTCCAGGTCGATGTTCCCCCCCCCACCCCCGACTTGGACCCGCCGTTACGTTCCCTCTCGAGAGGACGAGCGCGGGGGAGGTTATGGGGGCAGGGAACGAGGGGCAGGATGTAGCGGGGGGCAGGGAACAAAGAGCAGGGATGAGGAAATGGAGGAGCGAGGATCCGGGAGAGAGGAGGCGGAGGAGGAGGGTAAAGGGACGCAGGGAGTGGCAGGGGGGCGAATAGGAAAAGAAGGATGGAGGAGAAACGAAGGAGGGAGGAGGAGGGTCAGAGAAGAGGACGACGAGACGACGGAAGGGAATGAGGCAGGAGGAGCGAGGAGTGTAAGTTGGAGGGGGCATGATAATGCTCAGTGAGGGGGGAAAGGAGGAGGAGGATAACGCAGCAGAGTGTTAGGAGGTGTACAATGAGCAGTGCCAGCAGTGGTGGCAGGTGCACGTCCCCCAAAGCTCAACGTCTCAACACTACAAAGCGGAAGCATCCGATCCGGAGGCATCCAGTGTCCGAGTCAAGGTGGATGCCGTTGTGTCCGATATTTGCTAAAGTGAACAGAACGTGTTACGCAAGGCGTTCAGGATGCTGTCCGTGAACGTTGGCCTCCCGATGCCTTCCCCAAGCCACAGGACCCCATCAATGTTCTTCTCTATTAGAGGAGCCCCCTTGAAACACGAGAGCCCCGCGGGCCCATATGCGTGATTTCAGGAGAGGGCCCTGTTTTGAAAAGCATGGTGCGGCTCCGTCCTTCCTTCTAGCCCTAAAGACTCGTCGAAAAAGAATTGTCAATCCAAGGGAAGTGTCAAGCAAGAGCCGCCCTTCGTCCGTGCATTCAGTTGTTGCAGAATTTGCGCGGTTGGTCGTATACCTTACAGAACTCCGACCTGCGCCATTGTTTGAACATGCGGATGTTCTCCATGTGAGCACATTCCGATAAGTGTTCGGTCATGCAGGCTCGAGGAAGTTTCAGGCGAGAGCGCCCATCCGATTAAGTGCTGAAAACTCTTAAGACGAGTATGCGCAGCGCTGGGACAAGAGCCCACTGTTGAAGCGGTGCCGCCCTCCATCCGTGTCAGTAGCTGTCGGAGACTTCTCGTACGGGTATGCGAGGCGCCAAATCGAAAGCCACATGCTTGAAACCGTTCGCCCTCCGCCCGCATAATTGATTTAAGCTTTCCATGCGAATTTGCGCAGCGTGGAGGCGAGAGACAATTGAGAAACCGCCCGACAGGGTCCATCTCGGTCCAGTCGATCCGATTCGATGTCGGTTCCGGCCGGCCCGATCCGATTTCGATTCCGATGTTCGAGGGAGCCCGATCAACAGTAGTTAGCTCGAACAGTGTCTATCCGGGGGGAAATCTCAAATCAGGGGCCCCAGCTCTGACGGAATCCTGTTGGTTGGGGCTCGGCCTAGATACAACAGGGTCGCATCAGGGCTGGATCCATGCCTGATGAAATCCTTGTAAGGCTCGATCCAGCTCTGTTAGGGCTATTCAAGGATACACGCGTAAACGTTCGGAGCTCCGCGCAGATTTCATGGCTCTGCGCTGGCCCCCCTGGCGGCCCGGCGCCGTCCCTGACGCGCTCCGCGCGCCAGGGAGTTCCAGCTCAGATCCAACGAATCCGTGCGGACCTCAAAGGTTTCTGTCTGTGGGCTCCTTCGTCGCTACGGCTTCTGCCCTTCGAGACAAGCGCAGGTAAGTGTGACATTCTCACGGTGTAATCAGAGCCCTGCTCAAGGTTGTCTCATGCTTCGTGCTGCGCTGCCCTCCTCCACACCTCAGCCTCTTCTGACGCCTCAAAGTTGAAGTGCACTCTCTGAGACTGCCCAGTTCCACCCGGTCCCCCTCGAGCTGGCACTCTTCCTTACAATTAGCCGCCCTTCCTGTGGAAGTGTGCATCCATGCTGCTCGTGAAGCGGTATGTGCTGCGCAATGCTGGCATCCAGCACCGCACCTTGTTTTAGCGGCAGCGCCGGCGGCCGCAAGCGCCTGTGCAGAGCCAGCGGACCGCTCCAGGCACTGGGTTCACTAGAGCGGGCGGGAGGAGGGAGGAGGGAGGAGGGAGGAGGGAGGAGGGAGGAGGAGGAGGAGGAGGGAGGAAGAGAAGGGGAGGAGGAGGAGGAGAAGGAGGAGGAGGAGGAGGAGGAGGAGGAGGAGGAGGAGGGAGGAAGAGTGGGGGAGGAGGAGGAGGAGGAGGAGGAGGAGGAGGATTTTCCACAGGATGTTCTTGGGACGCTTCTGGCTGTGGCTGTCTTTTGTTTTGACACGTCGGTTTTCTGTTAGGAGAGCATTGCTGTTGTTCTTAGAGCGCTTTTCGGTTCTAAGAACATATCGTGGTAGGCCCATAGGAATGCTGGGACGGTCGGTCCCTGCTCAAGGGAGGGAGACAGGGACCCAGCAGGCGATCGCAAACATTTTGGCTCAAGGGTCAAGGGTCAAGGGTCACGGGTCACGGGTCACGGGTCACGGGTCACGGTAGGGTCCGGGTCACTTACTGTGCTTTCCATTGTTCTTCACTTTTACCCTGTGCAGGATTGTTCTGTAATCAGGTTTCTGTCATGACGGAGCTTGCACAGAGCACCCTGAATGCGCTGAAGGACATGATGGATCAGTCGGTCAGGCAGGGGGTCGAGCCGGTGAAGAAGGACATCCAGGCCCTAACAACTAAGGTGGACGACCATACCAAGCGAATCGAGAAGCTTGAGTCGGCATCTCGATCGCCCGGGGCAGATGCGTCATCTTCGGTGGGGTTGGGAAACCAGCAGGCGTCCAAAGGCTTCATCCCCACATTTTTCAACATCGAAAACTTCAGCACCTACGACGATCGGAAGACGCTGGGAGTTTCTCGTTTAGAGGCCGAGGAGTTCTTGAGTAGGCTTAAGGAGAAGTTGCCGCAGTCGCTCCAGGAGAAGGTCGGGGACTTCGAATGCTTCGGGAGCAAATCAAACAAGATCAAAGTTCATGTGCAGCCCCCGTACGCGGTTGAGATTTCATTGATTTTCAAAGATTTCTTGCAGGACGAGGATTTCAAATACAAGGGGCGCTCTTTGTGGACGGCTGTGGAGAGATCCCCCCTTGAACAGGTCAAATACGAGAAAGTTGGAAAGGCAAAGGCCTATCTCACTAAAAAGACGCAGAGCAAGGACCCCAATACCTTCGCCAGTTGCTCATACAGCCCCCATTGGATCCTCACTTGCATCAACAAGGGGAACGGGAAGGAGGTGGAGATGGGCGTGGTGGACGGGAACGGGGACGTCACCTGGGACGAAGTGAACGTCAAGGCGGCGTTCGGCATTACCGGGGAGCAGATGAACAAGGAGCTCCGCGCCTTCCGGCGCGGGTGAGGAGGCACTGCTTCCCACGACCTCACGTCCATGTCGATACTCTCTTGGAATACGGCCAAAAAGGGCCGTACAGCAGCTGCGAAGATTTGCAAAGAGTTCCGGAATTTTCTGGGAGATTTTGTTGCATGCTTGCAGGAGGTTCCTATGTGGGGGTCGCTGGACGGTTTCACTTATAATTCGCACACCATCATGTCTGCAGCGAATTGTGACTGCGCTTTTATTATTCCTAGATCTTGGATGCAAGCCAGCAGGAGGTTTTCGTATGGGGACTATTGGTGTGGAGTCGTTGTGCATGACATAATTTTTATATCGGCGCACGTGCTTGATCATCTTGAAGAGGGTGGTCGGGCCGAGGTGCTGTTTCAAGAATCTCTTTCTTTCGTGCACGACATTCGGCATGAGCATCCTTCGATTGACTTTCGCGTGGTGGTTGGCACCGATGCGAACGTCCAGTTTTCGGAAAACTTCGAGTCGATCGCCGGCGACGCTGTTTACCGGGACCGGGTGCACCATGAATTACCTCGTATGCGAAGTGTTGCATCTTGGATGGTGGCGCTGGGTGTCACGGCGGACAACACGTGCCGGAATCATATCGTAGGCACCTCCGGAAGCATCCCTGGCCGGCTTTTGTGGATTCGTAAACAAAAGCACCATCCAGAGACGAAATCGCAGATATATTATCTATGTTCTTCTGCGGGTTTATCGGGCCACGCTTACGTACGGAAATTTTCAGGGCAATTGTTTTCTCGCTCGGATCATAGACCTATTTTGGGATTTTACCGTCTACCTCTTGCAAGTCAGTTTCGCGTCTCGCATGCGCAGTCTCTGGTTGGGTGGCGCCCTCGTTCTGAGGAAGCCCTGGAGGTGTACAAGATCAAGTCTCTCAGCTTCTTGGAGGCGCAGCTACCTACAGCTCAGGCTGGTTTTTTGCAGATTGCTTTATCCATCGACCACGACACAGCCAAGGAACGTCGCAACACGCGGTCTCGATCGATTTCGGAACCTCTCCGGACTGCGCGTTGCAAGTTGGCGAACGCTTCGAACGAGGAGCGGCAGGAGTCAGTCAGGGAGTTTCGCCGGGCAGGCAAAAAGATGCGCCGGCAGCGGAACGAGAAGAAGTTGGCGGCTATCAATTGTGATCGGCTTGCTCACCCATTGCCGATGTGGCTTGAAGTGGACGGGGAGTTGACGGGTGACAGGAAGAGATGGAGGGAGGCAATACATGCATTTGGTACGAATCGTTTTGCGGATGCTGACAACGAGGCGGACGTTCAAAGTGCCAGACTCCACGTGCTGGACAGTGTTGCTGGACATATGATTCTTGACGGTTGCGCCCCTCCTGAACTATCATGTTTCGACACGTTGTCTGGAAGAGCGGGTTTGAAGAAAGATACGTCTGCTGGTGCCGATGGCGCTCCTCCTGAGTTGTACCATGCATTACCGTAT